ATTATATTGACTATTCCGCGCTGCCCGCTGCGCGCGTCTGCCCGCGCCTGCCAGCGCTGCCCGCTTCGCCGTTCCGGCGCCGGCCACCCAAACCGGGTCGGGTCGTGTCAACCCGGCAACCCGCCGGTTCGGGTCCGGGTTCGGTTTTTCGACCCGTTTCTCTACCCAGTTCGGGTTAGGGTCGACCCGTTTCGCACCCGGGTCAGTTCGGGTTCGACCCGAACCCGACCCGTGACCCGAAATTGACACCCCTAATCCTACCGATGATATTTGTTTGTGGTTGGCACTAGTGAAAATATCACCCATAGAACAACATATGAGTGCATGGAATAAAATATTAAAGTTTAAATGATGGTATGTGTGGTAAGAATGAAGGGGATTTACAAACATATTACTTTATTTCATGCTATTTATATATCTACTACTCAAAGTTTTAATATTACTTGCCTACCATCTATAAAATAAATATGAGTGCATTGAATGAAGTATTAAAATTTATAGGGTGGTATGTATGTATGAATGAAATATATGAGTGATATATTTGATTTTAAAGTGGGTGGTAGATATGTAATATTAATATTTTGGGTGTTATATATGTAAATACTATAAAATAAAGTGGTATGCATATAAATCCTCCAAGAATTAAATATAGGAGTAATATATCTGATATTAAAATTTTATATGAATGATAGAAATGTAATATTAATATTTTAGATATTTGAAATGTAAATAGCATGAAATAATGTGATAGGTAAGTAAATGAATTTTAAATAATTTTAAATATAAATAAATTTGCAATTTATTTGACTAATCATGAAAATATAATTGTCTGAAATACAGGTCCGAATATCACCGACACCAAAATATAAGAGGGAGGAAAAAAAAAAAAAAAAAAAAAAAAAAAAGGAAAAAAAAAAAAAAAAAAAAAGAAAAGAAAAATACAAGCACTGAGTTGGGGTGGCTCGCTTCCCTGGCAGATCTTCTCCTGTCTCCAACCTCCCGCTCATCCTGTGAATCGCTTCAAATCGAAGAAATTTGTTTTAATGCGGTGGACGGAGAAGGCATTATAAGAAGAATCAGTAGAGATATTGCATTCTCGAATCTTGAGAAGGAAGGCAGATTTTCTTCTTCCCTCTTTAAACCTGATCAGATCTACTATTTCGAAATGGGGGAATCCTTTCTTAGATTTTCAGCTCTGGTGCGCGATGGCCTTGGGCTTGGTATGTAATGAGGTAAGATTGCGTTTCGGCAGTGATTTCCGATTCGTTATTTTGAATGTTAAGGCTTTGTTTGGAGATTTGAGCATAATGGTGTGTGGCAGATTGCAGGGTTGAATCGGTGGAGATCTAGAAGTGGAGATGGGCGAGAGCCAGCGCTTTCAGATGGGTACCGTTGGTGCGTTGTCGCTTTCTGTGGTCTCTTCGGTGTCAATTGTGATCTGCAACAAGGCACTTATTAGTTCCCTCGGCTTTTCGTTCGGTTGGTGATCTTAGCTCTTGGGTTTACACCTATTATAGGGCTTGTGAATTGAATGCATTTGGTATCTTATATCTGTTTGATTGCATGGTGGCATAATTTCATTTCCAAATGATTGAGATGGTTCAGCTGAAATAAATCATATTATTGCATGGTATTTCTTTTCTTCTTTTGTTTCTGTAAAAAAAAAAAAAAACGAATAGTTTGTTGGTTTTTTAAGTCAACGGAAGAGGGTTAAGATCTTGTTAATTTAATAACTCCTGCCAACGTAGAATGTTGTAATTTCCTGAGGCAGAGGTGGGTTACCTCTGGTTTGGGAATTTCATTATATACTGGCTAGTTATCCTTTTGCTCATTTGAAAGAGGATAATGGAATCCTTAATACTGTAACAATGGGTGATGAATCTGGTGGGAAAGTAAGATAAGCAACCATAATGAAGCTAAATCTGTGAAATAAAGTTCAAGGCTTCATTTGAGACAATTTTCATACCATTTTTTAAAGTATATTTCTGGCACAAAAAATTCTTGAAGATGATGAAAAACAATGTCTAAAAACAATCTCAAACGAAGCCTATGACATGAAATTAAAATTGGGCTTTATCATTTAGTTGCTAGGATTATAACAGATACATTTGTGTTTGTATGTTTGATGGTGAGGCTGGTGAAACAGAGGAGGAGGAAAATAAGGGAAAGAAGAAAGGGAAAGGCATTCTAGGGAAATGAGGTGATTAGGGAGGTGCAGGGCTGAACAGGGGAGGATGGATAAGGCAAAATATATTCTTTGGCTATGCAACATGGAAATTATCAACTCCAGCACCACAGGAGAGAATTAAAGGATCATTAACAACTAGCGAGTAACCTTGAATGGAGGTGGCTAGAGCTTTTCTAGTAGATGAGGGGGAGTGGTGTGAGGATTCTTTAGTATGTTGAGAATCATTGGATGGGCCGATGGGGAAACCAATTGTTATTGAGCATTAGCAACCTGGTTTGGTAAAGCCTGTGTATGAGCATGTCTTGCCTTGTTATGAAGAAAAGAAGAAGAAGAAAGAATCCCTTGTCCATGGTGTGTACAAAATATACCATATTTCAAAAACATCACGACAACCATATAAACATGTATGTTCTTCATAGACTCGGATGAAGGTTGCTTTATATTGGTTTTATGAATTTAAGTATGAGAAGGCTCAAATAAGAAATTTGGAATGTAGTACAATGTGAATGTTGGTGGAAATGTGTCATTATGCAAAATGGTTTAATGACATCATGGGAGTACCATATCCAGAGGATAGGATTATATATTTCAGAATGAGAGATTTTTTGGGCGCAACTAGTTGGCTTTTAATAAGAACAAAAGGCCATCAGATTGCATGATGTCAGGCTCGTTTTGTTACCATGCTTGTTCTTGTTGCTTCTCAGTATTCGTATACAACTTGAACTTTTAAATATTATGAAAATGACTTTAAGATTTGTGTTGTTGTTATTTGTAAAACCATATCTCTTTTGAAACTTTTATTCCATGTATTCATGTACACTGTATGATATTTCAAAACCTTGCAGCAAAAAATTATGAAGTGATAATCAAGCAAATGTGAGACCTTAGGTTATAGCCTGTGGACTTCATTTGCACAAGCTGTTCTAGGCTAACATCATCTGATGAGGACATCTGCCAGAAATTCAGACATGTGTATCGTCGGAGGAATCGTAGGTCGATGGCTACGATTCAGAGTCTGTACTTTTGATGTATTTTCTATTTTATGTATTAGGTTGCATTTGAGTTTTCCCATTTTACCCCTATGGGGGAGTGAGTTTATGTTGTAGCCCAAAGGCACTTTAGTCTTTTCTGTTTTCTTCTATTTGGGCCTATTTATAGAAGACCTCTTGCATTGTATGGGATTGATGAACGAAATTATAATTGTTGTTTTCTCTCTAGAGCTTGTGAGTTCTTGAGTGGTGAAGTCCCAAAGCGTGGGCAAAGCAATACCCACCAGTCGCTGGAGGTGTCTGGGGCTCGTGGTCCGACGTCTCTTCCTCTTGCTCCACCACCGACCACCCTTAATCCCATCACCAAACCCCCCACCACCGGCTAGCCTTTCCGCATTAGACGTTCCCCTTGTCTCCCCTCAACCACCGGCTTTCCCCTCCCCTTGCTCCAAACTCCGACCAAGCCAAATTCCCCAACCTAAGGCTTTCCTAATTCAATCCACTTACTTTTGGGAAGAGATTTCATCATTTGAAATTCAAAATTTGAATTTCAAAAACCTTACTAAATTGACTACGCCAAATTAGAAAAGTTTTCAAATTTTGAATCTAATTTAATATTAAATTAGATTGGATTTCTTCACTTTTTTCCTAAAGTGAATTAATGCATTAAGGATCATTAATTTCCCTCCCCAAACCCTTCTTCCTCTATGCATGCTGCCGGTCCCCCTATTGATCCCCTTTCCTTTTTTTTTTTCCTTCTCTCCTCACATTAACACTACCTAATTTTGGATTTGGAATTCAAATTCAAATTTCCCTCCCACTAATTAATTTGAAAATCTGAAATTAATTCAGTTTTCCTCACCCAACCTAATCCTTGCTAAGCCTCCATCCGCCCCCTCTCTTACCCGACCCCTCTCCCTCTCACGGTCGAACCCCATCACCTCCCTCCAAACTGCTGCTCCCACTCCCCATCATTCAATCTTCATTGCTCCCCACTCAAAGGCAAGCATGAATGGCCGATCCAGAGATTGATCACGGATTCGTAGAAGATTCCACGGACGGACCGACATCCTTCAATCCACTTTCTTCGATTTCAATCCGGACTTCGACAACTTGGTGGAAGAATACGTGGACCACATTTTATATCAATTGACCCTTTAAATTGAAGAGCACATCCTTCCGGTCCGCTGATACGTTGTCAATCATCCACCTACACCTACTTTGGCTACCATTCCAACGACTGCTACCCGAGGCTTCTACCTTCTATTGGTGGAATTACTAAGTGTGTTGATCTTGCTTCTCCGTCGAACCCTACCAACTTGAGAGAGATTGACTATTGGAGCTTAAGGTTAACACATCACTTTGTTAACCCGTGGATTGTGTTGAACTAATCAATTCATTACTTTATATTTGTTGTTATTTTAAAGGATTCCCTAACTTTAGTTTGTGATCGATTACCTATGCGTAGCTTCTTCATAAGAACTTTGAACCTATTTGTGTGAAGTATTAAGATTAAATTTATCATTGCTCAACTATTATTTATTAATACTCGCAAACAATTCCTGGTTTTACATCATCATCTCTTCAATGCTGATATACTGACTTAGTTTAAAATAACTTCTTATACGAAAATTCTATCTAAATCTTATCAAATATGATTTTGTTTATATGAAAACTTCTTATGCCAAGATTCTATCCAAATCTTTTCAAATATGACTTTGTTTATTGTGACGAGCTGCAAATGGATTATTTCCTTCTTGTTTCTATTGACTAGCTTCTATAAAAGCTAGGTGAGATGGTTTTGCTTGATTCTAAATTTGAACTGAGTCATCATCTCACAGGTGTAACCAGTACAAATCTTGAATAGAAATGCTAATACAAATCTCAACTAGAAATGCTAAAACTGCCACATAAATATTCTCTATTGCCACATGTGATTTGCAGCCACGACCTTGACAAGTTGGCATCTATTGGTGACCTTTTGTTCTCTTCATGTGGCACTATGGATGAAGTTGTTCGAACATAAGCCTTTTGATCCAAGGGCAGTAATGGGCTTTGGAATACTAAATGGATGCTCTATTGGTCTTTTGAATTTAAGCCTTGGTTTCAACTCCGTCGGTTTCTACCAGGTGCTTTTTCATCTTACTGTGCTCTGTTTACATGACCTTAGAACATTATTTAACACTTTTATGTATAACTGTTGTGTTCTAGAGTTGAACTGCACAAATCTTCATGGAACCACTTTTTTTTGGGTGTAAAGCTAACTTTTTACATAGTACGCTTGAAAGTTATAAGATGCATGTGTACTGCAGAACAACAATGTGAAGGTTTTATGGATCAGGTTGTTGGCTTGATATGAATACTATGTATGGAGAGGTAGCAAAATAGTTAGGGAAAAGGGAAATAGATGTGACAATGAATTTAGGGAAACAATATGTAATTGAATCAGTTAGACATGATTCAATCTCTTCTTCTAGCATTACATTCATGATTAAAGGACCCCACATCCATGGCAATAGATTTTTGTTCATCATTCCTCATACCATAACATAATAAGAGGAATCCTACTTGTAGAGTAATGTTAGAAAATAACTAATGATATAAATCCAAATCACATAAAATATATAAAATATTGCTATTGTAGTTGTAGACTTAATTTAAATATACAAGTAATATATTAGTATCATTATTACTATATGCCAACTCATCTAGGTTATAGATTTGATTGTTACATAGGATAAGTTAATATTGAATCTAAATGGTTTAAATGAATATAACAACAAATAAAACATAAATTCAAAAGCTCTAAATCTCTCAATTTAACCTTTTAAAAAGCACCATAACATAAAATTAAATTGAATATAAATTCAACTCTAGGCCCTTAAAAAATTGCATTTATTAATAGGAATGACAATCATAATCCACCTAGAAGAATTATAAATGTTTAAGACAAGTTTGGTGTTAGGATTTACCTAAATCAAATGGATGAAGGGGATGATAGCATGAGAAGGGAGAAAATAATGAGATGCTTGTGCTTCTTTCCCCTTCAAGAAGGAAACGAAGAAATCTCAAGCAAGGAGGGGAAATCAAGGCATCAACAACCAAGTCAGTCCTTATTCCATCCAAATCTCTCCTCTACTGCTCGGGCAGACATATGCACGAATTAGTAGGGTTACCAAACTGTGAAGTCTTTGAGCACGACCATGGCCACTCGTCTTCCTTGCTATGCGTCCCGTGCCATAGGAGGCCGATGCCGAACATCACCTCCTTGATCCCAGTTCACATGCGGCGTCTGACTTTTGTTCTGAGCTCCCTTCCTCGCCGCCGCTCCCCCTCTTTCTCATGCTCAGCTCATGCCCTAAGTCTCGATTCCTATCTTAAAGGCACAAGATTTCCTAGTAGGGCAAAAGGTGAAGTGAAACGGCTTGGTTGAATCAGTTCGGTTCACCTCTCTACTTTGGGTTACCGCACAAATAACCTTTGCCAAAAGAAGTTGGTACCTCACCACCATACTAAATAATTGAAATTTATGGCTATAATGCATGACATCTTAGAGGTTAGGATTTGCTGATGCAAACCTAGAACAAGACATAAGCATTCCATGGATCACAATTCTCTCAACCAGTAATTTAAGCAATGCTTGGTCTCGTTTGATTCAAAATTAGACATATATTCCAAAAATAATTTAAGGTCAGCAAAATATGAAATTTTGTAAGAAGCTTGAGCATGAATAAAAAACATGCATTGATTTAAAATTTGCAAAAAAGAAAAATTCATATGTAGCAAATTTGACCAAATCTCTATCTTATACGTAAAAAGCGTCTAGATGAAAGCATAAGGATAAAGGTTTGCAATTGGAAGATCCAAGCCCAATGCAGATACAAGTAGAAGTATCCCTCCAAAGCCATTGTCAAGATTTGCATCATGCTTAAAGACTTCACATCCAACTGACATGCACAAGTTTAAGATGAAACAATAATTTTATCTAGTAATTTATATAATAGTATATGCCATAGAGGTCCTATTTATAACTCAAAAAGACCAAAAATAGTTTCTCATAATCCTCCAAGTCCTTGTCAAAAGCTGCAAGTTTCAGTTTCAATAAACTTGGATTCCAGCGAACACAATTTGTTTTGAATTCATTCTAAGCAAAATTGCAAGTCGGTAGAATTATTATAGTGCATATATGAGATACGCTAGAGAAAGCAAGTATCAGGTGATGCTATAACAGGAAAGTTGTTTTAAGAAGGAAAATCCAATTGCCAACTAAAGCAATTGTAGGAATAGATCAAACAACGGTTGGAAGACGTATACAGTATGTTAAACAATAACAATACTACCAATCGAAGGAAACTTCCATCAAAACATAACCTAAAGGCTTGACACTGCAAAATTAGTTGCAACAATAATTCAAACTATCCATGCTAGCCAAAATACTAGAAAATATATCATTCTCATATGCACCAACATCATAGGCATGCTACATTAAAAACAAGCCATAAAATATACAGTAAGAAAACTGGAACACCAAAACTTAAAATGTCACTATTCTCATTTGAATGCTCACTTCTTCATTTACTAATATAAACTTTCGGATTTCTAGTGGCCGATATTATCTTAGTTTATAACATTTTCATTCTACAAATTTTAGAATTTAGATTTAATCACTAGTGGTTCATTTTCCATGTTTATACATGAATTTGGCATTGCATCTAGATCATTAGAAATGTTCATTTAGGTTTGGCGTGATAATTTGTAACATCAATCTGTTCATGTTTCATCAAAGACGTGCTCATGCTTTTATGGTCATGATTGCTTTGCATGTCTGTTGGCATTTGAGATTCATTTTCCGGTTTAATTGTAAAGATTTTCTTTTATTATAAGTGATTATTTTTCATGCTGATTAATTTGTTATATATGCTTTTTTCTTTGCGGTTCAGATGACAAAGCTAGCAATCATCCCGTTCACTGTTTTGTTAGAAACTCTCTTCTTCAGAAAGAATTTCAGGTCAGTATTCTACTCATTGTTGCGGCTGAAATTGTAGGATGAAGATGTTCTCATACTTATCTAGCCATATTCTTAAATTTATCATTAACTCTGGGATCAAAGCTGATACTGGCGTGCACTTCTATTAGAAAGGGATTAGATTTATTTATTTTTTTCGATATTTCACTCCCAATCACACATCACTTTTTGTTGCTTGGTCAAGCAAGCTCAAACATTGTAGACTTTGCGTCTGGTTTTTGGAGGATAACTGAAATATTCTAAATGAAGAAGTGATAATTGGCCTAGGGATCTACATCTTAAGTATCCATTTGCAGTTCTCAAATGAATGTGATCTAAGGTATTCATGTTTTTGCTCTCAGAACTATACTCTTAAAATGTGGCATCAAGCATAACTTCTTCCACCTTTTTATTAAAAAGATTTGGATGTCACTTCTTTTTGGTATAGGATGCTTAGCTCTAATTGATTGTGAACTTGATTGTTAGACTCAACCAGCTTAACCTTAGATAACTCCTAAGAGTATCTCTTTCTCTCTCTTGTAACTTTCTAATTCCTTGATTTCCCTCTACAATAATGACAGCTTTAATATTTTAACTCAAAGAGGTTAACCTCTATTCCTTCTTTGACATCTTTTTATATGGATATAGAATACCACGTACAAAATATAGGCATTAGTTTCTAATTGGGAGAACTATGAGGAGATTACACTAATTTCTGCACTGAAACCGTGGAATGTTGGTGTCAGATTATCATTATTGCTTAACAATAAGCATGCGGTCATGGAGTCACTCGGCTCTAAGGCTCTTCTTCCCAAATCTTTTTTAAGTTTCCTCTTGGCGGCCATACTTTCAACTCATGTTTCTTTCAACAACATATGGATTCCATGAGACTTCTATTCTCAGCTTTGAAGTCTTTTTGGTTTGCCCACATGCCATTGAGTCTATTGATATCCCGATCAATAATATAGCTACCAGTCCTCTTATGAGAAGGAAATGTGGTGCATTTAGATTGATTATAAGGCGTGGATCTAGTCCATCAATGTGATCTGATAATATAAGGGAAGATTTGGGGAAACTTCAAATTAATCGGGTTACATTTATCAATAGAGAACCACACCTTGCCAAAAGAGAGGCATGCTTTATAGAAGTATGCCAGCTCAACACTTTTTATTTTCTCCTACTGCTTCAGCCATCATCATCTTACTTCACCGACCACAATGATATAATTGGTGCATAAAATACTTTTGCTATGGCTCTTCATGATAGGCATGCACATGCATGGTCCCATCGAAATAATTGCACTCATTTCAGTGGCTAGCCATCATAGGATGAGCATGTACGTTTGGGTAAGGGTTTGGATCTGCACAAGCTTTTTTTTTGTTCTGGGCAGCAAAACCTTTGCAAGAGGATGCACCTTGGTGTATGCTTTTTGCTGATGATATTCTTCTTGTTGATAAGACTAGAGAGGGAGTTGAAGGTAAACTTGAATTATGGAGGTAAACCTTGGAGTTTAAAGGTTTTCGCTTGAGTAGATCTAAAACTGAATATATGGAGTGTTCAGTGACTCTGATGACCCGGTTAGGAAAGTTGAGGTATTAGATTTGACTTATGTTAAAAAAGTTAGAGGTAGACCTAAAAAGACTTGGTTAGAAAATATTAGAAATGATCTTTCTTTATTAGATTTAAATGAGAATTTGACTTTTAACATGATACAATGAAGAATAAGGATTCATATTGCCGACCCCACGTAGTGGAACAAAAGCTTGATGTTGTTGTTGTTGTTGGCAGCAAAAACCTTTTAAACATAGTTTTTGTTATTCCTTTCAACTATCTCTTATTTAATCTCTCTTTCCTTAATTGCTAAAGATATGGATATGAATAAATCTTTCAATTATGTATGATATTTGACCCATATAATTTAGCTTGGCCTCTTCAAATCTTATTAAGTTGCTGGTTGAGTCGCCCGTGGCACTTAGGTACCACCGTGATTTCTGTTGTCCATCTAGTGGGTGTTTTTGCTGTCATTTCATTATCATCTGAGTAGGTTTTGAAAATGTCTCAATCTCACTGAAGCATTTCATTATTGTTCTTGCTGCTCTTATTCTAGAATGTGTATTAGCGATACGGCCTGGAAATAATTCGAATTAAATGCCTTTATAGGGCTAAAGAAAAGGGCCATGAACTTCAAAGGATTAAGTGTTTTCTTAACAAGCTGAAGATTATTTGCATCAAAGGGATGTGAAAGCTTGGATGATAAGATGATAATGAATCAGAAAAGAACTAAACTGTTATTACAGTGTACTAGTTATCATCATCTTGAGCTACTTATTAAAATGATATTTAAAAGAATTTCTTAGTACAGAAAGGTATTGAATTGAAGAATTTGAAAAGCTTGCAATGAGCAAGTGCTTACCACGATTTCTTTCTAGTGGAAGATTTTAATATTGAACAAAAAATTTAATTGAGTGTTGCAATAACTTGATTAGTAGAAACGAACTTCATACATTTATACATTCAATACCTTGAAATTTAATGTGCATTCTATCGTTTCAATTATTGCTGCAGTTTTCTTGATTGTGCAAATACATGCTTGCATTAATGCACATTTGCCAAGTACTACATTAATGTGCCCAGATGTGCAACTTCTAAAATTTCTTTTGCTGTTCGATCCTACCAAAAGTTGTTGATTTGTTAACTGTGGTTAATATCTATTTGTTTTTTATATGCAAGTCTTGTTTTCATGTTTTTGAATAACTTATTTTCCATCTGTTATTACAGTCGGAGCATCAAATTCTCACTAGCTCTCCTCCTGTTTGGTGTTGGTATTGCGACTGTGACAGATCTTCAACTCAATATGCTCGGATCTATCTTGTCACTTCTTGCAATTTTTACAACATGCATTGCTCAGATTGTATCCTTATAAATCTTTGTTCAATTCTGTCACAAAGAGTTGACGTTAAATTCTACTATATTGTTGTACAACTTTGATAGAATTAGTTGATATAGTAATTTAGGTTCCACCGTTCCATGATTACTTGAATTTTTTCTTCACAATTGCAGAATGATGAGAAAAATATTTCAGGGGATAATTATTTTCCTACTGCTGTAACTGAATTTGCATGTTTATGAATCTTCATTTGATGCAATGCAACTTTAATTCAAAATTTTATTGTTGCACGTGAAAAAAAGATTTGACCAATTTTCTATTTGCCAAAAACTCAGGAAATATAATTAGGTAATTACAGGATGAATTGAGCCATTTAGATGTAAAAATAGTCATATGTGATCTGTTTTATTTGCGGGCATATTCTCAAAAAATTAGCAAATGAAAAAGAGGAACACTCTTTGTTGATTTTTGTTTGTCCTAAAACCTTAACCACCCTTCCCAGATGACTAACACAATTCAGAAGAGGTTTAAAGTCTCATCTACACAGCTCTTATATCAGTCTTGTCCTTATCAGGCAATAACTTTATTTGTTATTGGCCCTTTCCTCGATGGACTTCTAACTAAACAGAATGTTTTTGCATTCAAGTATACACCTCAAGTTCTGGTTAGTGAAACTTATTCTTCTAGCAAACATTTATTCTCTATTTCGTGAAAATTTAGCTAATGGCAAAGCCAAATCTTTTTCTTTTTCAGGTCTTTATTGTGCTTTCTTGCCTAATATCTGTCTCTGTGAACTTCAGTACTTTTCTTGTGATTGGAAAAACATCCCCAGTCACATATCAAGTTTTGGGTCATCTCAAAACATGTTTAGTTCTAGCATTTGGCTATGTTTTACTGCATGATCCGTTTTGCTGGAGAAATATATTGGGAATTTTCGTAGCAGTAGTTGGAATGGTCCTGTATTCTTACTATTGCTCAATCGAAAGCCAGCAAAAAGCTAATGAAGGGACTGTCCAGTTATTACAGGTCTGAAAACTTTTTCCTTCAAATGCAATATTGTAAAATGCATCCGTTATTTACTTATTATTTGAAACATATCCAAAACATATTCTGCTCCACTGCATGAGCTTCAACTTAGCAGTCCAACTAACCTTTAACATAGATTTAAGTTTCACAGTACTTTATTATTACCTTTTTTTTTGTTCAAATGCATATTAAGATGTACTGTGCCAAAAAAATTGCTGCGTTGTTGATTATCTTAATTTTATCTTCGTTTTAGAAACTGCTATATGACAATACCATCAAACTCCTCTTGTAACGGTAATATTTCTTCCTAATTGGATTAGATTTATGTATGTGCTATTGTCATATATTACCAACTGCTTGTTTGGTGAGGTTATGAATTTGTGTTATAGGTAATTAGGCTGTAGGGGTCAGACAACCTTGGAAGATTAGTAAAGTGTTATGTAATTTGATTTAGGTCCTCACAGGTTAACTTCAATAAACTATTTCTATTGTTCACAAATATGGTTGAACAATTCTGTCTCTGTTAACCTAAGTTTATCATTGTCCTTCATAATCCTTCAACTCTCATTTTAGCTTTCTATAATGGGGGCATATTCACCAACTATTTTCAAATAGATTATCTACAATATATGTTACTCCTACTACCTCTATAATATAATCATTCCTTAAATTATCAATGATATCCTCTTGAGATATTTCTCCATTTTATTTTCCCCGCTTAAATTCATTTTAACAATAAATGTCAAATGATAAGTTTGAATTGATTAAATTATGCATCATTTGAAGCATTAAGATACATGAGAGCATTGGGTTTACTCCCACACTGGATAATTGAGAAATATATTGATGTAAAAATACCAAATAGTTGAGTCTCTTTATTAGTTTAGGCATTTGAATTGAAATGGATTTGATCATTGGTATATCATGCCCAATTTTGCCCCCCTTTTAGTCTGCACTCCATAAAAAGTGATATCTGTAATGATGGCTATAAGGATTGAGTGTTCATATGGTTTATAACTCATTGATATTAATGTCTTTTATCATAAATGATCAAGGTATAATAATGGGTGGCCCCATATCAAGCCTGACTTTGATCCCTCTTTGATTCACTATTACTAACAAAGTGGTATCTGAGCTGATAGTGATGTTGGGATCGAGCGGTTCATGAGATCTATGGATTTCTTGGGTTTTATTATCTTTCTCCATGTATGAGCAGGGTTTAAGGATCCGTGACTGCTATAATGGTTCCACTTAGTTGAGGGGGCTCATGTTACAAGTAGTTGGTTATCATAGCTTGATCGTCCACATAAAAAAATTCCATTTGAGGTATTTAAATCATCTATGTGTAGAGTTCTCATGTGAGGGAGATTATTAAAATATATAAAAATATTTGATTTAGTTTCTCATAGACAGTTCCCTCCTGGACTAGTCAAAAGATGGGTCGAACCCTCCTAGATTGGCTAGGACCCATGATCAGGCGGGAATGAAACAGGCAAAGGTTATGCCTGGTAATTCTTTCGCCCTCCTTGGGGTGGGGCCTAGGGAGTGATGCAAAAGAGGCTAGGAGGGAATTTCAAATTGGGAGGGATGTTTTGGGAATTATTGTATGCTTTAATTAGTTTATTTTCTGGGTTAAGATCGTGCTTGTGTTTGCTGAGTAAGGGTTAGGTTGAGTGGGCTCTAGCCATTGGCTAGGGATTTGAGAGAAGCGGATCTTCCTCTCCAATTGAAGATCCATTGCATCTTGTTTTTTATATCTTCCAATAAAAAAAGTATTTGTGTGTTCTTCTCCCTATTTTCCTTGGTTTTGTTTTGTAGTTTTGCTGAAATTCCATTTTAGCTAAGGTATTGGAATTTTTTTGCATTCACTTCCTATTAAATTGGTATCAGAGCGATGTCCTGGACTAAAATATAATTTTTCCTTGTTGATTTCCGTTGTTTTTTTCTCTCCAATCTTCTTGTTTTTTTGCTGTTTGAAGGCCCGATTCGTTATTTGTTTATTGTTTTTGCGGTTTGGAGCCTTGATCTAGGTACCTATGGTGGGAAAAAAAGTAGAGGTGTTGGAAGGGGAGATCAGTCAATTGAAATATAATTTTGCAGAAATGATTTCATATTTCAAAAAATATTTTTCAGCCATCCATGAGAAGATCGATGGAAAATTTGCCATATTGGAGGAGATGATGAGGAAGATATTCGAGTTACAAACCAAAATAGCACAGTCGGAGGCGAGGGAAGTCGCCGCTAGATAAGGAAGTGGGGAAAACCCTACTCTATTAAGATGAAGGGAAGATCAAGTGGTGGAGATTTTGGAGGGAGAAGAGAGAATCCCTCCCGTAGAGTCTGTTCCTATGGAGGAGTTGGGTAGAGGGTATGAGAATCAAAGGGTTGCTTTTTAAAAGGAGAGGGAAAATTGAAAGAAGAGGGCTTGGTTATGATTGGAGGGGTGCTACATTTGAAAGGAAAGAGGCTAAATTTGAAAGGTAGTATCTGAATTTGAAAGGAGAATTGCTGATTATGATCGAAGGGATGCTGGATTTGAAAAAATGGGGGGATTTTAACGAAGGATTTTGGTATGAGCATATAATGGATGATCAAGACATTTGGAGGGAACTACCCCCTTGGGGAATGAAAAATTATGGAGGAAATAGGGGAAATGAAGGAGATCCAAGGGTAAGGAAGCTGAATATGTCTATTTTTTCGGGAGAGGATGCACATGGGTGAGTTTATAGGGTGAAGAGGTACTTTACCGTTAATAGGTTGATAGAGGAGGAGAGATTGACGATGGTTAGAATGTGCTTGGAGGGAAAAGTGTTGGTATGATACCAGTGGAGGGATATGAGGCAGCTCCTACGAACCTAAAGCGAGTTTAAGGTTTGCTTGTTGGAATGTTTTCGAACCAGCATGGGAGGAGAATTCTATGAGCAATTCGTCGCTTTGACTAGGAGGGGACAATGGTGGAGTACAGTGAGTAGTTTGAGCACCTGGCTAGCCGGTTGGATCGGCTTCCAGAGACTGTATTAGAGGGAAACTTTATGAAAAAGCTCAAACTAGAGATTTGGGTGGCAGTTAGAGTGATGCGTCTCGTGTTGTGGGCTGATACCAGGGGGTTATAGATTGGTGTTCCAACTTATATAATTGGGGTTTTCTCTGATGTCGGAACCCTCAACCGGAAAATAACACAAGCATACTTACAATAACAACATAAGTAATGAGGAAGAAGATGATGAACATTAACAAAATAGTACGAAAATAAATAAAATAATAAGAACCTAACAAAAGTACAATAAAAAAGATATAAAATTATATAAATATGCTGTAGGTGGCAGAACCGACCATTAACAGCTAATATATTATATAAACAAAGTAAAAATTATAGAAATAAAATTGCAGAAATGAAATTGCATAAATAAAATTACATAAATAGAAAGTAGACAGCTTAGCCGACCATGAAAGAAAAGAAAATTAACTGGAAAGAAAATTGCAGAAATAAAATTAATAAAACTAATTAGTAGCGGAAAATAAAGAAATATAAGAAATAAAGAAACATGTTAGTAGTCAAACAGCCTCTATGGGTCTGTTCTTCAAAAATTTCATGTTAGCAGTCTTTGGAGTTCGAAGAGAATAATTCTCTTGATTTTTTTTTAAAGATGGTTGCGATATCAACCTGAAGTAATGATACTTCTTCGTGCTTTCTTTTAAAATTATATTCTATTATGGAGTTCTTATACCCTTTAGATTTACAGTCTGAAATCTCACGATATCATTTCAGCATTTTGTAAAACCTCACCCAAGCAGTTGACCCGAAAATAATAAAGTTATTTTAACTTTCCCTCAAACGACTTTTCTCGCCTTAAACGGGAATCAAATTGGGCATTGACTGAACCGGTCTGTTGGTAGACTGAAAATAATATCTTTCGGACAAATATTCTCCAAGATAGAAAGATAATTTTTTCAAAACTCAAGAAAAAGAAAAAAGTAAAGGTAGAATTTAAGAAGACATGATGAAAACTAAGATAGATTCAAGACAAAGGTTTACAAATCTTGAGAAGTTTTTCTTCTCTAATCCAAGACTTGGACTCTACTAAGACTTAGACAACTATTTATAAGAGGAGAACTATTCTCCTTTCTTTCTCTCTCACTTTCCCTTCATAACTTCTCTCTTTCTCACTTCTCTCACTCTCTCTCACCAATTCACCCTTACTCTTACCCATACTTCATAACACACACTCATGGGGTATTTATAGTGAAACTCCCATAATTACATTACAAACTTAACTCCATGGTATAACACACCTAACCATGATTAAAAGAAAATAATTACAAATAGTGCTAAATAGTAACAACCATTTCTAAAAGAAGACATAATGCCACTTCCACTTTCATGCTTTATCCACCACTTCAAAAGGGAGATTCTTCATGTTGGGTAGATGTTTGGTATGCCATACTCTTCTAGATGTATTTCATACGTATGAATAGTAGCAGTACTATTCATCTTCATAGTGCTGTGGCTTCATTTATTGATACGTCAAAAACTTCCTCAATTGGTTGATTTAATTCCATCACTTTGTATGTTTCAACCATATCCACATTCTTAATTTTGTAGTCAAAGGTATATAAATAATTTTCTGCTAAAGGAGTGTCTAGATAGAATTTTTCAATAGGAGTTTCTCCAACTAGTTTGTAGATACGATTGTCCTTTCCAGGATTCCAAAACCAATTAGCACTTTGAACAACTGCTCTCCAATGGTCCACTTGGGTTGTAAGAGGGATATCTAGATTTAGATCCCAGAATTGTTCCCAAATAAAACAGGTAAACATTCCATAGTCATTGTTGCTTTCAATGGTTTGAATTTTATAAAGATGTCTGCTTGGTTCTGTTCGTTCTTCGATCCATTCAGGTGGAGAGGAATCAATTTTAATTTGTATGGATCTTGTGGATAGTGGTAGTACATGCTTTATAATTCTTTGGAGCTTTAGATCAAAGAAATCTATTATTCTAT